AGCCCCTGTGGAGGTATTTGCCAAGTTTGCAGAAACAGCTGTTATAATGGCAATCTCTTCACTGAAAGTTTGTACAGCCCAGCAGGAATTTTAGCTGAACATGGTGCAATAAATAGATTCATTCATAATTATATGTTTATATTCAGAAGAAGTCTTTAATATGTGCCATCTACACGGGGAAACTTTCAGGAATATGTCTCTATTATGAACATTGTTTTCAATTATATTTCTTGAAGAGAGATCACATAGTGATATTAAGAAGTTCTTGAATTTTAAAAATGACCCAGTCTAATCTGTGCCATCCTTTGAATTCTTCAACCACTCAATGATCTCAATAACTTTTCCTGTAGACATTGACTTGAAATCAAACATAAATGGTAAGTCTGAGAAGCTAGGAGGTTGGTGTGGGTTCCCATTGATGGTACATCCGTAGAATAGATTCCCTTCTAATGAGGGGGATGTCTAGATACAATGCATTGACTGTAAGGACCTTATGTGAAGGAAAGGAGCTGACTGTCAGCCTGTGGTTACTCAAATTCCAGAATGAGAAGGTTTTGCTTTATGGTGCCACCAATCACATTAAAAACTTTAGCTTTCCATGAGAAGTTCATTGAAATTAGTAAAAGACAAACCCTGTGGTCTTCTTTGCATTCATGGGTGGGAAAGGGGAAGGGTTTCCAACATTCCACTGAAACAGTTGTTTCACATACAAACCTTCCATCCTCCTTTGTTTGGTCCCGTTTCTGATGCCCACACTTAGTTAACTGATTTCAGAGCTTCTCAGGCTTCCATTGAGCATTTGTTCTTCAACTCCTTCTTCAGCTCCCTTAAACTTTATTCTAGGTTTTAGTTTTCTCTACCTGTTTAATACTTTAACCCATATTCTTCCTCATTCTTCCAGAAATTTATCAAAATGTCTCATTTTTAGTGATGTTCTTCCTCATCTTCAGTATTCTCATTGATGATATGATATGATGACTTTTTTTTTGTAAATCTCAGAAGGGGAAGGCAACAAATATTTGTACTCAACTCACCACTTTAAGCTGCACATCCACTTCTCCTTGGTGAAACATTCATTTATGAGACTACACTGGAGCCTATACTGTTTTCCTATTATCTCTCTGACTATTCTTTCTTGTTATCATTTGTAAGATTTTCATTCTTTTCTCTTCCAATGAAATTTGGATTATTCAAGGCTTGGTCCTAAGCCCACTTCTCTTCATATTTCATACTCTCTCCAAGGACTGTATTAACCACACCAATGGTTGCAATTACCATGTACATTGTGATCACGCATGTTTATATCTCAACACTGTTATTCAAACTATTAATCTTTTCTACAGCAGAATTCAAAAAAGGAGAACCACATCCTAAGTATATCACAATCTTATTAATGTTATTAGTTTCATTTTCCTTTATGTTATAGTCAATTCAAAATTTCATGTATTATGAAAAACACATCCAGTGTAGTATACATACCTAGAAATTGGCTTAAAAACCTTGGATAATATGATATTGAACAATAATTATATAGAAATAATTTGTAAATACCTATTGATTTTCAACTTTTAGATTTAACCTATGGGAAAGTATAGAACACTTGGTTGTATCTGCATGAGAGAAAGTCAAAGTAAAAGTGGTAGACAAAAGAAGGACAAAGGAGTATAGAAAAGGTGAAAGAAATAGTAAGGATAAAAGTATCTTAATTTTATGAAATAAGAAATGAAGAATTATTTTCAAGAGTTGAGTTAACAATAGAAATTTAAGAACATTGTCTAAGTTAAAAGGCAAGCAACAGAAGAAAAATAAAATACATAAAGATAAACTAGAGGCAGATAGGAGAGAAGAAGCATTACGTACTTCTCATATTAGAGAGTCAACAGTTATTATCTAAATTTGATTAGTGAAAAAGCATAAATATATTCTAGCATAATATGAGGAAAACATGAAGAAATGTAATGAAAAGTTAAAGGTTGGTTGTTGGTTCTAGGGAGTGGGATTTGATGACAGGGAGGGGTGAATGGAAAATTTATATGTGTGTGTGTGTGTTTTCCCCCATCAGTACTTATATATTATCAGATTTATTCCATATGGACATATTCCTTTAATAAAAAATAAAAAGTAGTACACAAAGAACTACAAAGGAAACAATAACCTTTGGTAATTTACAGAAAGAAGCACTGTGAGTTTTCTAACTGCTCTAGTAAAATCCTAAATAGGATTGCCACTAAATAATATAACTGAAATTTAGCAGATGTTTCCCACCTGTTTTTGTTTTTAACTTAAATGTTAGCTTTAAAATAACAGGTATGTTTTGCCTATTTGTAATTGCTTTAGAGAATCTTTCCTGTAGTACTGATCAAATAAAGATATGTCAAAAAAAATAGATGTTTGTAAAAGAAAGTGGTCACCAACATCAACTGCTGCTATTGATTCAATTAATGTGATGACTAAAAAGTGTTTCTCAGTTCAGTGACATAGCACTGATTGCATAAGGAACAACACTAATAGTATAATGATTGGAAAAGGCCACAGAGAATGAAAATCAATGGTCAGGGGTGGAAGGATTGGTTCTAATATGAGGAGAGACAGTTTCTCTGTTGAAATATGATAAGGGAAGAAAAGTGTAGATAGAGATGGAGTAGATTTGAATTTTATTAGTGGGAAGATGAGGGAGCTTCAGTTAGACAGTGAATATAATTTTTTTTTGTGAAATGGTGTGGGGGGTGGCAGTCCAGTTTAATGGAAACTGAAAGGCTGCAGAAGACTTTTGGGAGAGATGCAGGTGAACCATCTACAGAAATTTAGTGGGATTGAGGGCCAAGGTTGAAGACCCATTTGATGCTGGTGGTCATAAATCTACAAAGAGTGTAACTTTCTCAAACAGCTGTCAGATTCTCAAGGCAGTCACAGAGTAAGAGGATAGTTGAATTCATTGGCTGTTTGGGCTTTACCAAATAAGAGCAACATAAAGTCAGAAGGGCAAAGAAGTTTAAGTATGGGCAAAAGATTGTTCTTGAAATGTTTGACCATGGAAGGTAGAAGGCAAAGTTAAGCAATAAATTTGGGTCATATAATGAAAGTGCAAGAATCGGCTGCACATGAGCAACTAATATTTTAAACCACTTGTGAAGGCAGTCCAATAAATTTTGGACTCTGATTATACATGTGCTACTTTCTCTTGTGATGATCAGTGCAACGTGTGGGCAGAGACCTCTTATGTAAAAAAGAAGGTGGAAGACCTCCTCACCCTCTTGCACTACCCCATATAAGGTATTAGTGAATGATTAGTGAATGAATAGACAGCAAAATGGAGCCAATTATTAGTTAGCCAGCAAAATGTTAGTTTTCAGACAAGGTTGCTTTAAACTCTTAAAAAATTAATGAGAAGATACTTAGAAATTTTATGGAAACGGCTTATAATCATCTCAATTCCAAGCTTTTAATTAGATAAATTTAAAAAATACAGATTTGTTTTTCTTTTTTTCTTCTCACCATAGGTAACTACAAGATAATCTTGATTCTGGCATAATATACACACTCATAGCTTCAACTATAGTGATAGAATATAAAATGATGACTCTTAAATCTCTTGCTGTAGCCCAGCCCTCACTTATAAGTATTAGATATCCATATCCAGATGCTCATTGCATATTTCCACATGGATTTCCCATGAATACTTCATCTCATCATATTTACAACACAATTTCTCATGGTCCCCCACCCTTCAATCTTCTGTATTACCTCTCCTAGGGAAGACAATCATCACTCATTGGAAAAACTATGCCAACACATTGAAATTGTTTTATATACTAGCTTCTTCCTATTCCAAAGCCCCATACTTAATCATCAAGTCTTTGTAATTCTACCTCCTTAATATCTCAGTCACGTTCCCTCCTCTCCAGTGGTATGACCATTATTTTTGTTCATTCCCTCATTATATCTTGGCTAGTTAGTTTATTAACTGCTGGATTGGTCTCCCCACTTCCATTCTTGTTTCCAGCTAATTCCTCCATGTTATTATGTAGCTGTGCTGCCTTTGGCAGTCCCATAATCTCCCTAATACTGGTTTCCTCATCTTTAAAATGGACAAGCCATTTGTACTCTTTACCTCATAGGTTTATTACTATAATATATATGAACTATGAACTTTAAATACATAAAATAAGAAACCAAGTAGTAAGCAAAAATCCCTGTGATATAGCTTCTGACCATACTTTCCAGCAATATAAATTCTAATAACAAGCATAGAAAGGATAGAATTGAAATATAATTTTTTTTAAACTTTACAATCAATCAGGATTCACAAGCTCACTTCTTAATACTGCCTCCATAGATTTTTGTACTGCATGACACAGTAAGCCGCATATCATATATCAACTGTAATATAGCACTTGACTTCTTTAATACAATGCTTAACTGTAAATGTCTATAACTATAAATGAGGTGTTTAAATTTGAAGATACTTTAGATAGATGGCATTACCTATAATTATAGAATCATCACTTCTGCCTGAATTGCACTTAAAAGTTAAAGTTCCAACTGCTCCCATTATTGGAAAAGCAATAATAACAATTATAACTATACCATGAAGTATTAAAAGCTGAACATTCAATTTGAAGGCAGCTAAAATAAAAATGTAATGAAAAGTGAACCCATAAAATGCTTGCAATTCATACACATATGCTATATAGAGGCACTAAAGAGCAAAGGAAAGACTGTGGAGTCTTTATTATACTTCTTTTCAGATTCTGCCTCCCTTTTTGGCACTAAAGTAGCATTATAGGGGGTATTTCTCATCCATGGATCATCACTTTCCTCTGTCAAAGTTTTTATTCTAAGGTATGCATAATCTTAGTCTAAAAATATAGAGTTTCCAAATATGGCAAATGCTTTTTGATTTTCTTTGTACTAGATTCAGGTGCTTAGAAAAACACTAACACATTTTTATTTTCACATTTGACATGGCTGACTACTTTAACCTGGGCAATGCAACTTACCATCATTACGTAGTGTGAGTGGAGTTGGAGGACTAAGTACTCGAGCATTTGTCACTGTGTTTTTCACCAGGCATATATAGCTGCCAACATCTGATGTTTGGACTTTAGAAATGTAGAGGTTGCCTGTCTCCTGGGAAATGAAGCGCCGGCTGTCTTCCGCCACAAAGGAAGGGAACTCATTAAATACCCAGCTATAGACGATTTCTGAAAATACACAAAATTCAGTTGTTGAAAGACAAAGATTATTTCACTAACAAACAAAAGTCAAACAACAAATCTTTTATGAAATGTTAGATATATTGTAAATCCATAGAGATTTGAATATTTTGTATTCAAAGATGGTATTACAAGGGTTGCTATTCTTAATGATAACAGGAATATATAAAATATTTCTTAAGAGATTCTTAGCATCCATCCATCCATTCATTCATTCAATTCCAATGTATATTTAATCTACATTAGATTATACTACAATAGCACCAAAGATAAAAAGATGAGAGAGACAGTTTCCCATTCTCAAAGATATATACTGCAGTATATTATAATGAAAGCATGGGAGAGAGGCATTTCAGCAATTGTGTTGATTAGTGAAAACTTCCTGGGGTAGGAGATACCTGAGTTACATTCATTTACTGATTTATTCAACAAATATTAGCTGAGGGCAGGCATTGTTTTAAGTGGAAAAAAAAAGTTCGAGCTCTCATTCTACTGAGAAGAAACTGAGAATACACAAACAAGTAAGTATATGTCAAATGGTGATAAGTGCCAGGAAGAAAAGCAAAGCATGTAATAGAACTAGAGTTATAGGATTGAGAAGAACATGTGGATTTGTATCTTTAAAGTTTTCACTGATTTCTGGGTAGAGAAGAGAAAGTATAAGGATGAAAGGTAGTGGTGGGGAGCAGGGTGAATAATGCCCAGTAGTCTAGAAAGCTATTTTCAAAATAGCCATGGGAGATGTAAATGGTTTGCACTGGGATGGTGGTGATAGTGACAGTAGCGGTGAAGTATTGGTTCTGGGGAAAAATGTGGTATTAGAGTTGACAGGAATTGCTGATGGCTTGATTATGAAATATGAAAAGAGAAGAGTCAAGGATTACGGTTTTTAGACCTGAGTAACTGCACAACTGGAAGAATGTAGTTGGCTATACGGAAATGGGAAGACTACAAAAAGACTGGGTCTTTGAACATGTGGGTGTAGTGAAACCAAGAGTTTCATTCTGACAAATTACTTTTGAAATATATTTTATTAGGTATTCAATTAGAGAAATTAAGACAGTTGTACATGTGAATACAGAGGCCAGAAGAGAGATCTGTGTAGGTGTTATAAATTTTGCAGTCTTTTAAAGATTAGTTGGAGTTAGCCATGTGAAAAGTGTATGGGGTGGGGAAGAATTCTAGTCAGAGAAGCTATATAAAGAAAGTCATTCAGACAACAAGTTTTAAGGTATAAATTGATTACCAAAGCAATTTTATGTTATTGGAGTAAAAAAATCTAAGAAAGAGAGTAGTAAGAGAAGAGGTGGGGTAGGTTAGAGATGAATCCAAATCATCAAAGACAGATTGGCATGTTATTCATGCCATATTAAGGAGTTAGTGATATGGCACCGCTAGAGGTTTTTGAGCAAGGGGTTGACATAATTAGATATGTATGTCAGTAGGCTAGTCTCGTGATTGTGCAGAGCTTGTTTTTGAGGAAGAAGGGAACAATAGGGAAATGTTGCACAGTAAGTTGAGAGCTGAAAAAATCTGAATCAGAACCATGATGATAACTATGAGAAAGACGAAATTAGTCCACAGGATATACTGAGAATAACAAAGTGAGAGACAAATAGTACAGGACACCATCATATGTCCCTTGAGTGGGAAGAAGGTGGCACAAGAAGTTCAAATAGGAAATACATGAAGTAGAACTGATCTAAGGACAAAAAAAATTGGTTAACTTTCAGGACATTTTATGTTTGAGGAGTGTGATGCAAATCCAGGTAAAAAGGTCCAGCAGGTAGTATAATATATGTCTGAAGCCCATGAAAGAAATCTGTGGTGAAGGTTAAATTCAGGAGTTGCCAGTATACTGGTATAATTGAATCCATGTAAATAGATAAGATTAACCAGGCAAAGTAGATACAGTGGAGAAAATAGTTCTCTGGGCAACATAAAATTCTAAATAAGGATAGAAAAAATTCAAAAGATAGGAGAGAATGGTGGATGACTACATCATTACATAACTGCCAAACCACTGAGAATCGGCCCAGCCGAGTTGACACATAACCTTAACCATCTCGGCCAGCATTAATCTCGCCTCACACCTCCATGTTCGTTACCGCCAAACATAACTTTTTAATGTGCAAAGCAGTCGGATAGTAGATTTGTTCACTGTTGTTGCAAAAGTGAAATGTCAGATAACAAGAGAGTCGGTAAGTGAGAAGTAGGTGTCCAGATCTCAGGGCCCTGCTTCCCTAGAGTTATTGATGTCCTAGGACCAATTATTTGAGTTTTTAAGGCTCAACAGATTATTTTAATATACAGTGAGGCTTGTGAAGCTGTTTTATGCTTTTTTTGCTTTATTGAGCAATACCAACCAAGCGTTGCTAAAAATAAGTTCATATCTCTGGCCATGCCGATTTTCACATGGGAAGCCTAGTATTTGTTCAGGCTTTGTAGATACTCAAAACGGCGACTAGAAAATTATCCGTCCATATGTAAAGTCAACACAGCTAAGTTTAAAACTTTATATATGGATCCATCAACTTTTAATAGAACCTCCCAAATCTATTATTATTACTGTTTACGTTTTCATCTGAATTGAATTTACAAGCAACATGTGTCCAGTAAAGATAAATCATTAATTTTCATAAATTTCTGTTTAAGAAGGTAAAATCAAAGGATCAGAAACATTTTCACAGACATCAGCTTGAAATCACGTGATGAACACTACAATTGCTATTTCTTCCATACAAATTCCACCACCTAACTGCCTTGCTCCAGTTTTCTTCACCAGGTTTACTTCCACTTGTGCTAAAGTACTTTAGGATTTCCAGAGGCAGTATAGTCAGGTCCTGACTCAGCTACTTGGAAATGGTTTAAATTGAGCAATTAATTAACCTCTTTGAAGTACAGTTTTCTCATTTATGAAACAGGAGTATCATTAAAACTACCTCAAACGACTTCAGATGAGATAATATAGGTGAAAATCTAACACATAATAAGAGTTGTGTTTGAAAAAGAACATTTCTGTGATCCTGTTTCCTCTCACAATTATTAAGTTTAGGAACTCCTTCTGCATGTTCTGTTTCAAAGTAAGGAACATAATATAGTAAAAAGGATCTAAAACAATATTTGAAGAATTATAAGTACCGAAATACTAAAAACAAACAAAAATATATTCTGATCTGTTTTCCATAGAGAATTTTAATCATGGGCTAAATGCTGGTTCTAAGCAATATTTAACCAATTTTTATTTAAGTCATATATTATAGTTCTACCAAATGCCTGAGACTTTTCAAATGTTACATTATATTCCATTAGCTTATAAACACAGTATACATATATAATATAAAAAAAAAAAAATTCAACTATCTTAACAAATGTTTTACAAAGAGAACTACTTGTTACAGTTACAATTACCTGGTTGGAAGGTTTCAGTCCACTTAATATTTTATTAATAATTTACTAATAATATCCATGTGGTTTTACTTAAAGGAAGCACAGAGTATAATTGAAATACTTTAGTCTGTTCTCATACTGCTCAAGTAGACTCTAAATTCAGACTTCTCATATTTAACAACATGAATTCTTCTAATTATTATGATGGAAATTACATTTGTGGTTCACCCAGCATCCTTAGAGATTTTAACATTTTTGCCATTACTTTTAGATCAAAATTTTCTGGTTTTTTAATTTTTTTTGTTTGTAACACTTGAAATTATAGAGATAGGAAAGCCATGATCAATTAAATTAAAGACTGTAATTTATTTGACTATGATTTCTGTTACACTGGTAATATTTGTTGAATCAATGCCTTATAAAATACTTTTCAAATAGAAAAAACGTAGTACACAAAATTGGCATTTCCTCGACTTTAGAGATAAATGAGTATTTGGGGGCTCGGAAATGCTTATTCAGGTCTTTAAATAAGTTTTCAGTTTCACACAGCAAGTTAATGAGGGAGAATGGGTGGCAGTTGTGTTAGTGAGGCAGGACCTGATCTACAAGACTGGATTGTGTCCTGAGGCAATCTCTTGAGATATAAAAGACAGAAGTGAGCAGTGAGACAGGGGGA